GACGTGCCGTCTCCGTTCCCTTACCGAGATGTTCCCTTTCATAGGAATCCCTACCAAAGCGCTACAGTTAGTGTACACTGGCTTATTTAGTTACACTCCAAGTAAATTGACCTATCTAGCGAGATTCCTACTCATCGGTCAACAATGTGGCGTCAAATGTGACCGACTGAAAGGGAACAGCATTTTTCAGGGACAAAGGAAAGGTATACTCCTCTCAGAAAAAAATATACAAATAAAGATACTTTTAGATGTTTAATTGCTATCTGGGGCATTGGGGTTGCTAAACTATAGGGCTTAATGAGCTAATTTTTGTGAAAACCTCAAATTCGACCAAAATTTACATTTTTGACTTGTTTTGCCTGTAGCTCGAAATTAGCCCCTGCACATTTCCGACACATTTTTCCAGAGCGGGTCATAAATATATTTCCCCCCCACAATGCATGAAAATAATATATTTTGTAATGCAGATGAAATTCTCTGGCCAGATGTAAATTAGAGACGTTATCTATAAAGTTCAGTGACTTCATTGCAGTAGCCTGTAGCCTACAACAGTAAACATTTGCTGCATGTTTGTGAATGTATTTTTTGGGGGACGGGACGGGACGGGACGGGGGTGGGGGGGACTTGTATAACAAAACCCCTCATTGAAAAAGTTCGATAAACATATTTTTATTATTGTATTTGTCTATAGCTGAATCTTATAAATGGGTGATTCTTCAATTACGGGAACTTTTATGTCCCCAGGTTATACATTCATGTTAAAAATACTATTTTATAAAATAAATAGTTTAGTTATTTCAAATAATATTTATTGCACCACCAAAAAATGTTATACACTAAAATCAGTATGATTTCCATTTTTAAAAATGCTTTCATCACTAATATTTGGCTACTTAGGCCTTGTCCCCAACCCAGACTTTAAAACTTATCTGCTCTGAAAATGTGATCAAATGTTATCAGTTAATTAAAAAATCACAATATATGTTTAAACAGTAACTTAAAAAGGCACTTGATGCATAATTTGGGTTCATATCTGTGCAATTTGTGAATATTTTTAACAATTTAGTATTGTCCACAACAATACTGTCATTACCGCGACAGTCTATGATTACAACAAGGATATTTTTGAGGGTAAGACTTGTTTATGCCATAACCATGGAAATGAAGACTAGCAGGGGAGCACATGTCAGCCATGAAAGAACAGTGAAATTTGATGTCTGAAAAAGTAAGTAATTTAATCATGAATTCCTTCTGATCATGGAGTAGACTTATTCAGCGTCATTACCATAAATGCTGTAGCAGCAATATTTTGATAAATATATATATATATTCACAATGATTTATGTGTATTTAAAGGTCTTTTTGTACTAGCTGTTGAGTAATGTTAGCAAAACCATGACCTAGCATCTTTTTTCCTGAAAAAAATGAAAAATGTCATTACCGCAACACGTCATTACCAACACACAACTTGTTGTGATGGTAATGACAAGTGATGGTGGTAATGACATGTTCTGTGTCACTATCTATATCATTTTATGTGTTTATAAATTAAGTTAAAGAAGCATAATAGTGTGATTTTACAATGAAACTTAAGTGAGATGCCTTACTTCCTAAAACTATTTTTTGTCTTATTTTTTAACCAGAATGGCTCCCAAGAAATCAACTGAAAGGTCTAGAGATTATAGAAAAAAATTAAAGCAAGATCCTGTAAAATATCAGCAGTACATTGACAGAGAAAAGGAAAGATACAAAAGAAGAAAAGAAACAGGAAAGCTAATCTCACAACTTTCAAAACGGGAGCAAAGGCAGAAACTAGAGATGGGCCGATTACAATTTTCTAGGCCGATTCCGATTTTTCAGAGTTTGACCTGCCGATACCAATTTTTAGCCGATTACGATTTCATTTTTTCTAATCACTTTACAGCACACACAAATATTTATTTTCTCTCTTTTCTTTAGTAGAACATTTTACATTTTGCATAGAATATTTTTGAACAGTAATCACTATAAAATAGGACTATATAAATTACTCCTCTAAAAATGTGCAGTGAATCTAAAGTGCAGTGTTATGGAAGAACCATTTCCTTCTTTTCACATCCAATATCCAACAAAAAAAGTGTTAATTTCAAAAAGAAAATTCATTTTATTTTCTGACAAATACTCCAGTTCTTGTTAAAACACACCAGACGTGCAAATTCTGTGCATTTTGGGCACTTTTGTGTGAAATCATATTTATTTTGTCCATCAAAAGTGTGCTTTCACTTTAATTGAGCGTGAGCAGTGCAGCAAAAATAGACTCTGCACCGAAACCCGTGCTTCACCGCTGCTCACGCGCGGCTCCCGCTCCCGGTGTGAATGCACTCATTGATTAACATGCACGCTTGAAATAATACGCGCTGCTCACGTTTGCGGTGTGAAACGGCCGTAATTCACGAGGTTTCCAACATGTGCGTTCCGTGTGCACGTGTGATGCTGATGTTGCTCGATATTAATCATGCGGCGCCCGAGTGTATTTGACCGGCATAAAATGTCATCGCCGATCATGGCCAATCGAAAATCGGCCAATTCCAGTCACCAGCCGATCAATCGGTGCATCTCTAACAGAAACGCAAACAATGGAGAGTTAACCAAAACAATCAAAGAGCCAATGACAAAATTCGACAGGAAGTACAACACTATGTAGCTTCAAACACCCCCCAACATCTCCAGTGCAACAGGGTCAGAACAGTGAAAATGAAAATCGTGAAACTCCTTGCAGAAGAGGTCGTAAGAAAGTTAAAGGACAAGTTCGGTATTTTACACAAGCCCCGTTTCAAGATCATTTCTGATGAAATAGAACAAGATTACAATTTGGACACATGCTGCTGTCCCGAGAATTTTCGGTTTCTGTGGTTGCACAACCCTGTCAATCTCCTTACATCTGTCCATTTCTTTCAACAACACTCACCAGAAGTCATTATTTAAGCCTTTAAATTTGATTTATGTATCAGTACACTTTTCATTTGTCATTACCAAAACACTATGTCATTACCAGAACAGTATGTCATTACCACCACGTTGCTTAATTTACAGCAAACATACCTTTAAATCTGTTTTATGTTCAATCTTGAGGTGCTACATGAAAAGCCTAATGAAATACTCATCCACCTATTCAAAGAAAAAACATCTAAAATTAATTTTACAGAAATTAAACAAAAGTGTGCTTTGATGAATACAGGAAAACACATTTTGATGGTAAGAACAAGAAAATATATGGAATTCGCAGAATGGAAACATTTTGTTTTTTATATGTATTGTTGAAGGTTAACAATGTTTGCAAGATGAATGAGTTTCACGAGTTCACATTTACATCAATTAAACAGAGTAAAGATTATGCGTATTTGGCGTGCTGTCCAGGGGGAGGGCTCCGAGCTCGGAAATTTTTGCCCGAACCCAGAGTGCTCCCCCTTGTTGTAAGAGTATTTAGGAGAAGAAGTGAGGAGATGGGGTGGTGGAGGGATGCTGTTAGACTGTCAAAGAACTGAGTTAAGTTTGCTGAATATATACCTCTTACCTCATTGATTGGGAGTGTGCTCCACTCGTGTCTAATTAGGCTTGATTACCTGAATGTGCTCCACATGTGTTTAATTATCTGAACATGCTCCTCCCGAACTTTGTTAGGAAACATCATTTCACGAGTTCACATTTACATCAATTAAACAGAGTAAAGATTATGCGTATTTGGCGTGCTGTCCAGGGGGAGGGCTCCGAGCTCGGAAATTTTTGCCCGAACCCAGAGTGCTCCCCCAAAAGCAAAGAGCAAAGGACAGCCGCCAGACTAAAGACCCCCCAAAACGCAGAGAATTTGGCGGGCTGGCGTTTTGAGAATAAGCCTGGTTGCTTGACCAGGAGGGCCTGCTGGCTCACGAACGGGGAGCAGTCGTAATTTGGAACAACAGTTGGGAGGGCTCGCACCGTTTCTCGACGGGAGCAGCTCACAGCGTCAGACAGGCGAGCTCTACCGGCCGATGAACAGCGTGATTTATGCCGCCTGACCAGGAGGGCCCGTGTTGCCTCTGGCGGGAGCAGCTCACTGCGCTGGGCGGACGGGCCCTACTGGTTGACAAGATTTGGGAATGCCCAACCAGGAGGGCCCATGTAGCTTCCGACGGGAGCAGCTCACAGCGTCGGGCTGATGGGCCCTACCGGCTGACGGTGGAGTGGCGCGTTTTTTGGAAGCCCGGACTGGAGATTTCCTGCTGTCCGCTGGGAAATCGATACCTGTTGGATGGGAAAGAGAAAACATAGATGCATGCAAAGTCCGCTGGGAGACCAATGCTCGCTGGACAGAAAAAGAGAAAACATAGATGCATGCAAAGTCCGCTGGGAGACCAATGCTCGCTGGACAGAAAAAGAGGAAACATAGATGCTTGCAATGTCCGCTGGGAGACCAATGCTCGCTGGACAGAATTATGCAATGTCCGCTGGGAGACCAATGCTCGCTGGACAGAATTATGCAATGTCCGCTGGGAGACCAATGCTCGCTGGACAGAATTATGCAATGTCCGCTGGGAGACCAATGCTCGCTGGACAGAATTATGCAATGTCCGCTGGGAGACCAATGCTCGCTGGACAGAAAAGAGGAAACATAGATGCTTGCAATGTCCGCTGGGAGACCAATGCTCGCTGGACAGAAAAGAGGAAACATAGATGCTTGCAATGTCCGCTGGGAGACCAATGCTCGCTGGACAGAATTATGCAATGTCCGCTGGGAGACCAATGCTCGCTGGACAGAATTATGCAATGTCCGCTGGGAGACCAATGCTCGCTGGACAGAATTATGCAATGTCCGCTGGGAGACCAATGCTCGCTGGACAGAAAAGAGGAAACATAGATGCTTGCAATGTCCGCTGGGAGACCAATGCTCGCTGGACAGGAAAAGGAGAAAACATAGATGCTTTGCAATGTCCGCTGGGAGACCAATGCTCGCTGGACAGAATTATGCAATGTCCGCTGGGAGAGTTTTTGCTTTGTCAGTTGGGAATTTAGATCACTGGAAGAAGGAAGAACACCCAGGTGGACGACCCGGAGGGTTTTATTCGATGAGGGTTTGGTGGGCTTTTTTAATGTGGAACCGGTTGGTCCTGATGTAGCTTTGGAAAGCGTCTGAGGACCATCTTCCGAGAGCTTGTATCTGCTGCTGGGAGAGGCCTTTTTGGGCAGCTGAAGTTGCTGCTCCGATGCGGAAAGAGTGACTGGAGAAATGTTTTGCTTGGATGCCTGACTGTTGAAGAACGGATTTGAGATGTTTCTGGAACCAAAAGCGTGTCACAGGTTTGTTGGAGTCATCTATAAATAGGGGATCAAGGTGGGATTTAGCCTGGGAGCTTCTCCAATGAAGATATGCCTGAATGGATTGGTATGGTTGGATTGGCGATGAGAGTTTGAAGATGTAGATGAAATGGCCTTTTTTGGATTGGTCTGTCTTGCTTTGCTTAATCAAGTATGAGATGGTTTCACTATCCAGTACTGATAAGTCTGAGATGGTGGGGTGGACTCTTGGGTCGAATTTGGAAGTGATGGCGAGTTCCGAGCATCTAAGAAAGCCGAAAAATGCTAGAATAAACATAGCATCGAGTGTACGGGCTGTCTCGAGAGGCTGGTAGACTGTGCGGAGGGCATGAATACATTTTGTGAGAATATCTAGTGTTATGGGTTGTCTGGTGTCGGGATGGGTGGGATGAGATCGTTGAATTCCTTTGACCAGAAGGGAGGTTTGTGAATTATTTATCTCTGGGGAGGGAGCGCCGTACATCAATTTGTGGAAAAACTGGATGCCGCTCAGGTAACCTTTGATGGTTCCAACTTGGAGGCCCTTAATGCTGTTAAGGTAGGAGATGAATGAGGTGATTGAAAGGAGAGAAAAATCAGGGAATGGCAAGGTGTATGAGAAGTGGAATGCTTTAAAACACCTCCAAGCTGTCACATAAGATTGGAGGGTCCTGGGAGAAACTGCTTGGAGGATGGTGTCCAGTGATGTGTCGAGGAGTTGTTTTAGAGGGTGGGTTACGGGAATATTAGTTCTGAATAGTGAGGTACTGGAGTTGGGAATTGGTCTGCCTCTGGAGCCAGCATCCTGAATTTCTGAAACAGAAAACGAGACAGAGAGTCAGCGATTAGATTTTCAGACCCGGGGATGTGTTTGGCAATTATGATAAACTGATCACACGCTGAGATCCAGATTAGGCGTCTTAAGAGTGGCATCAGGGCGGGTGAATGGGAACGGCCTTTATTAATGCATTCAACGGTTGCTTCATTGTCACAATGCACTAAAACGCTACTGGTGGCCCATCCTTTCCCCCACAGGAAGGCTGCTACCACAAGAGGGTAAAGCTCAAATAGGGCTGAGGACTGAGTCGTGTCTTGGAGTTGGGGGGGCCACGGAGATGCAAACCAGCGTCCTTGGTAGAAACCCCCGAAGCCAATTGAGGGGGCCGCATCTGTAAATAATTGGATATCGACTGGAGAAAAAACGAGATCGTTATAGAAAAAGGATAGGCCATTCCACTGTTTTAGGAAAGTTATCCATAACCTGAGTTCATCACGGCACATCTGAGATATGGAAATTAGGTCTTCTAGTGCGTGAACCGAAGAAGCGAGTGAGAGGAGATGCGAAATGAAAGGGCGGCCTTGTGGAATGATGCGCATTGCGAAGTTTAAGTGGCCGAGCAGGGATAAGAGTTCGCGTTTGGAACAATTTGAGCGGTCAATGAGGGTAGATGAGACGAGTATGATCCTGTCAATTTTTTCCTTTGGCAGGGAAGCCTGGAATTGTACTGAATCTAAGTTAATGCCGAGGAATTCGATGGATGTGGTGGGACCCATGGTTTTCTCCTGGGCGATGGGGATCCCAAGCTCTGAAAAAACATTTTGAACGGTGAGGATATGAGCGGCTGGGATGGCGTCGGGAGGCGAAATGATTAGGAAATCATCTAGCAAGTGAATGAGGTGAGGAATCGCATAATTGTTTGACAAAATCCAGCAAACAGCTTCTGATAGCGTGTCGAAAATTTTGGGGCTGCTTTTGCATCCGAAAGTTAAGCGTACGGAAAAATAAAATTTTCCTTGCCAGCGTACACCGAATAAGTGCCATGAATCTGGATGGATGGGCATCACTTTGAAGGCAGAAGTGATGTCGATTTTTGCCAGCCAAGCTCCCCGACCCGCGATTTTTATCATGTCGATCGCCTGATCTACATCATGGTATTTGAGAGAAAATTCGTCAAGGGGGATCAAGCTGTTAATGCTTGGGAACGGGGAATCATGTGGGGCTGATAAATCAATTATAAGGCGTTTTTTACCAGAAAATTTTCTTGTGGCCACTCCAATGGGGCTGATACGAAAAACTTCGAAAGGAGGATTGTCGAAAGGACCAATCATGAAGCCTGACTCGACTTCTTTTTTGATCAGGTTGTCTACTACATCGGGCTCAGCCATAGCAGATTGAAGATTATTACAGACAATATTTTGAGAGAGTGGGCATTCCACGCCAGGTTTGAAACCGTGCTCGAGGCCGGACAGAAGATAGTGTGTGAAGTGGGTGTCCGGGTGATGAGCTAGTTCGATTGCTAAGCGAGAAATATTCACGGGAGTCGACAAGTAATTTTTTGATGTTTTTTTATTGACTGCTTTGAACACTGGGCAAACATGGCGGGCATGGGCACCGCCGCAGAAATTGCAGACATGGAGAAACCGGCAACGCTGTCTGTAGCACCTCCCATGGTTAAAACTACTGCACAGCTGCCTGCTGTTTGAAAAGGAGGCTGTCTGCTGTCTTCCTCCATCGGGATTTTCATTGGTTGTAAGTCTTGGCACATAGCTGGTTGATTTAACTGGGGCTGAGTCTGGGCAGGGGGGGATGGAGGGGTTGATTTGAGGACATGTTGTGGTTGAATGTGCCACTGACCTACATACCGCACATGAAATGTTCCTGCAGCCTAGGAAAACCCTGCTGTGTAGATCTGGATCAAGAGCGCCCCAGTAAGGACATTGGTTCCACTGGGCGACCCGGACAGAGCACTTGGCGGAAAAGAGCTTGTGGTATGTGTAGAAGTGCCCTCCTCCATAGGACAGCGCAAGTTCGGCTATAATTGATAAGTAATCGTTTAATTCGCGCCGCCTATGGGGGAAGGCAGAGCAGATTACTTCAGTGAAACGGCTGAAAGCAATTGTGAACTCGGAAAAAGAAAGTAAACGTGATGAATGTGGATTTGGGTTTTTTAAAGTGACAGAAAAATCCCCACAATCTATTTGGCGGTTTGATTCGGTTACAGGTAACAGAGAGAGAAGAGATGAAAGATCTACGTCTGCACCTGACAGGATCTGTGCTCGGATGTTGTGGGACACTGGGGGCGGCTCCGCGGCAACGGCGTTCGATGGGACAGGCATCTGAGTTGCTGTGAAGAGAGAGTGGAGAGATTTTGCCTGGAGAAGAGAGCTGAAAGGAGCCGAGGCCGGGGCTGCAATTGTCGGCGGAGGCAGCCTCACGCTTGAATTGGCCTCTGGGGCTTGGGGAAGAGGATTAAAAGTATGAGAAGGAAAGGAAGGTTGAAACTGAGAAAAGTGGGCTTGTGCTGCAAGCGGAGGCAGCCTCACGCTAGCTTGAGCTACTGGAGCTGCTGGCCACTGAAAAGAAGAGGGATTAGTAGCTGTTGTAAAGGTAGGTTGAAATGATTGGGCCTCCAATGCTAGCGGAGGCAGCCTCGCGCTAGCATCTGGGACAGGTGCTGGAGGCCACTGAAAAGAAAAAGGATTATTAGAAACAGCAGGAGCCATGTTCTGATATGCTGAGGGAAGGTCGGCGGGCCTGGTTTCAACCAAAGGTGCAGCCTGCTGGCGAGGTCTGACAGCAGAAGGAACTGGGGCGCGGCCCAAGCTTGCTGAAGGCCTTCTGCTGCGGTTTGATGCTGAAAGAGAACTGGATTTGGTACGCTGCGATGGTGGTGTTGTCGAGCGAGGTGAATCCTGAGCTTTGCTTTGCCTGCTGGTCCTTTTCGGGGCCGGCATGGACTTCGGAGAGAGGTTAGTTGATTGCAAGGATACATACAAGGCGTATAGTTCCGCTTTGTTCATCCTTCGCGAGAACTGAACATCTGAATTGATCAGCGCTTGCCTCAATCCTAAAACTGTCCACTTTCCAATTGGTGGAATTGTTGGGACGGCCGAGCGATAGGAAGAAGCAGGGGAGGGATTGTGATGTCTCGCTGGTGGAGGCGAGGGCTGGCCTCTGCGTCTAGGCGAGCGTGTAGCTGTTCGGGCAGGCAGGCGGCCGCATGGAGAAGCCTGAGGATCAGTTGAAATGTTGGGTAGAGAAGGAGTTGTCCTTGGGTCAGCTGATTGTGGCTGAGGATCCGGTGAGAAGTTAGATTCCTCATCGGATGGGAAGAGCTGGAGTTGAGACATGGTAGCAAGAAGGTCGAACCAATATGCTGTTAGACTGTCAAAGAACTGAGTTAAGTTTGCTGAATATATACCTCTTACCTCATTGATTGGGAGTGTGCTCCACTCGTGTCTAATTAGGCTTGATTACCTGAATGTGCTCCACATGTGTTTAATTATCTGAACATGCTCCTCCCGAACTTTGTTAGGAAACATCATTTAAATGATCTCCTTGATACATTCTTTGCATTATGAGACTTTTTGATGTTGTGATGGGAATGACGTTTTTCAGTGCCAGTTGGCAAATAGATATAAAATACTCAAATTATATTTAAGCTCAGTCGTGGCCATTATTATATCTTTACATCAAAGCATGTAAACATTGCCTTGACATAATTCCAACAAAATTCAACCAGATTTCATTCATCAAAATGTAAGATGGCAAAATAGCCCCCAATTGAAGAATCACCCAAATACAATAGAGCACACCTAGTTTTGATGATAGCATTTACTTAAAAAAATGCATTATAAACTGCAGTGCTTCAGAGAATATTGAACTGTTTCATCAACATAAGTGTTTAGTGTGCTGTGTTAATTGTTTTGAGATCAACTACTTTCATTTGAAGAAATGTGTCAAATCGACTGAGAAAAACTGACCTGTTTTCACACACATTCCAATTCTCATTCATAAAACACAAACACTTAGTTTAATTAACTCAAGAATCATAATGTGAACTCAAATAACACATGTATCCATGAGTAAACATTATGTAGCAAAACTGATGACACACCAATCAGAATCTCAGGATAATATAAATAGGAGCACTGGTTATTAGTGCATTAGAAAATGCATCCTAACACTGGAGAGAGAGCTGAAGGAATCATCTACAGGGTTATACAGTATAATTACAGTACACAGTAACAGTGCTTTAGATGAGGGAAACTCACAATTGTCAAATTTATTTGTAGCCAATTTGTTACATGTACTGTATTTTTTGCAGAAATGAGAGACGACTGCCTCAGGGAGGTAAGAGAGTCTCTTATCAGAACAGAAGACCAAGAAACTGCTAAAGAACTGTATGCTGTAATAAAATTTGGCCGAAGGTGCAGAGGATACTGAATATATTTATTTTCTACTGTACTGTAATTGACAGTATACTCAATTGTGTTGCATACTGAGTTCTTATTCAATTCTTTGGTATTCATCTACTGTAAGATCACTTTACAGTAGTGTAATGAAAATAAATTTTTTCTAAAGGTTAGTGTTGTATTTTACTGTATCTGCACTCTTTCATTTATGTTGTATACTATAATAGACAATGAGCTGCAAAATCATTGCTGTATTCCAATATGAGGTTTTTGTTACAGTGTTATGAATTGATCTCACCAGTTTTCTCCAGGCAGGAAAATAGTATGTGTATTTGTTAAGTTTTGTGTGATATCTGGGGCCAAGGTTTGATTCTGACAAAAGAGAATTTGTTTTTGACTGAAATATTTGAGTTCGATGTGGAAGTTTGAGGTTTGTACAAATTGGTGTGTTATGAGATTGTTTATAGTTGTGAGAAAATGGTGAATTGTTTCATGAATTGTGTGTTAGCAATCAAGAAAAGCATCCACATTCAGTGACTTATGTACACCATGTTAACTGGGGTGGCCATGCTGGTGCCAGTTTTCTGGGGACAATTCACATTACCTTAAATGTAAAATATACATGTTTTATACGTTTCAAGCTTGTTGACATGGCCCACCTGCCCAATAAATCAAAACAGAGCAAACTAGTCAGATAAATTAAGCAAAGCTAAGGAACACTAATGTCAGTTTCAGCACTAATGAAGCATGTTTCAGTATTAGCATTTATTTGATAAAGGCTTTACAGTTTGTTTGACACTCTGTTGTAGAAATATATCAAGATCACTAAGTGAATGTAGTAATTACAAAATATGGGGAAAACCAGAACTGCATTTTGCTGTAATAATAAAACCCTAAACCATCAAACAAAAATGACTTATGTACCCTTATGCATCAATTGGCTTGTAAGAAGCTTTGTGATGAGGTAGGATATCAGCATAGAAACAGAAAGAAAGAAAAGGCACATTACAAAACACGTAGCGAGGTTTCTTCTGAGAGATAGCATACCAAATACAAGATATTTCTACACAGGAGGTCGTAGGAGGAGGGAAAACATACTTTGTATGCTATGCCACAACCAAAAAGGAAATATCTGATTGACACTTTGGTGCTAATGTAACTAGATGAAACTGAAAGGTTTGATGGACATTAATAGTAAAGATAAATGTATTTTAAGAACAGAAATTATACATTCCTCCCGTATATTTAAAATATACTAAATTAAAATATAAATTACACATGCTCAGCTGGTGCAAGAGAATTACTTAAGTGTAAACAATCATCGGAACACTCAAAGTGCCCTCAGAAACCAAAATTGCCTCGTGCTAAGCAATAGCCCAGCTTGTTTTGGTTGCCTATGACAGACATCAGACCAACATATGCTTCGATTAGAATGGGTTGATTCAGCACAAGAACCCCGTTGGCTTTTCCAGGTACAGGATTCTTGCTGTGGGCTCTCTGCGCTGCTAAAGTCAGCTCCTCCCTGAAGCTTTGAATCTACATGAGGAAGAACAATATGGAGAAGTCATTTATTCAGTAAAACACACGGCAAAAACATCTTTTATATGCTTATTTGACTCAACTCGTGTTTGTCAGGTTCTGCTTGTCAAAACATTCCTGTTTATGTTTTCTCTTTTTTTTTATCAACCGTTCTTCATTTTTTGTTGAACCTGCTGTTCACCTCAGTAGGCGGGGTGGAATGTGAGGAATGGGAATGTGTGGCTGTAGGATTAGACACCCCCGTAGTCCAAATGACTAGTTATGCGATCTGTGAGGTCACCTGCATAAGACCCTTCGCTCACACCTTGAACTACATACACTCACCTAAAGGATTATTAGGAACACCATACTAATACTGTGTTTGACCCCCTTTCGCCTTCAGAACTGCCTTAATTCTACGTGGCATTGATTCAACAAGGTGCTGAAAGCATTCTTTAGAAATGTTGGCCCATATTGATAGGATAGCATCTTGCAGTTGATGGAGATTTGTGGGATGCACATCCAGGGCACGAAGCTCCCGTTCCACCACATCCCAAAGATGCTCTATTGGGTTGAGATCTGGTGACTGTGGGGGCCATTTTAGTACAGTGAACTCATTGTCATGTTTAAGAAACCAATTTGAAATGATTCGAGCTTTGTGACATGGTGCATTATCCTGCTGGAAGTAGCCATCAGAGGATGGGTACATGGTGGCCATAAAGGGATGGACATGGTCAGAAACAATGCTCAGGTAGGCCATGGCATTTAAACGATGCCCAATTGGCACTAAGGGGCCTAAAGTGTGCCAAGAAAACATCCCCCACACCATTACACCACCACCACCAGCCTGCACAGTGGTAACAAGGCATGATGGATCCATGTTCTCATTCGGTTTACGCCAAATTCTGACTCTACCATCTGAATGTCTCAACAGAAATCGAGACTCATCAGACCAGGCAACATTTTTCCAGACTTCAACTGTCCAATTTTGGTGCGCTCTTGCAATTAGTAGCCTCTTTTTCCTATTTGTAGTGGAGATGAGTGGTACCCGGTGGGGTTTTCTGCTGTTGTAGCCCATCCGCCTCAAGGTTGTGCGTGTTGTGGCTTCACAAATGCTTTGCTGCATACCTCGGTTGTAACGAGTGGTTATTTCAGTCAAAGTTGCTCTTCTATCAGCTTGAATCAGTCGGCCCATTCTCCTCTGACCTCTAGCATCAACAAGGCATTTTCGGCCACAGGACTGCCGCATCCTGGATGTTTTTCCCTTTTCACACCATTCTTTGTAAACCCTAGAAATGGTTGTGCGTGAAAATCCCAGTAACTGAGCAGATTGTGAAATACTCAGACCGGCCCGTCTGGCACCAACAAACATGCCACGCTCAAAATTGCTTAAATCACCTTTCTTTCCCATTCTGACATTCAGTTTGGAGTTCAGGAGATTGGCTTGACCAGGACCACACCCCTAAATGCATTGAAGCAACTGCCATGTGATTGGTTGATTAGATAATTGCATTAATGAGAAATTGAACAGGTGTTCCTAATAATCCTTTAGGTGAGTGTACATACTTTAGTGACGCTAAGTTAGCCAGGGACCAAAACAAATCTAATTTCAACATTTTTGATTTCAGTGATTTTTCTATACGCACTTGGACTATTTCTTGTTTATTGTCTAATTAAATGATAGTCTTAAATCAGGGTTTACTTATATAAAAATGAAGGACTTTTTCTAAACCAATGACCACTTGACCTCAAACTGTCTACTGGTCCCCTAACCTCTAAGATGATCATGACATAATAGAAGGTCAACTTCAGATAGTTAGATGATCAAAGATGATCATGACATAATATAAGGTCTACTTCAGATAGTTAGCGTAACAACAACAAAACAGAATATCAGTTTATCTCCATATCCCTTGAGAAAAAGAAGAGCTTAATTGTATTGAATGTGCACTTGTAGTGAATTTCAAATCTTAAAAGTAGCCTACATATTTATTTTTTTCCTTGCCGATAATGTAATAATTTTTTTAATTATTATCATTTTAAATCATTATATTTTAATAATGTTTTGTCATGCTTTAAAGAAATGTATTTACTTTATGTTGGCTAACATAGCCTACTACACATACTAAAGTAACCGTAGTGTGTTATTCAGTATTAGGGTAAAATGGGGTTAAAGCCCCCAAGTATAAAAAAATGCTTTTCACTACTCCCATAGTGTATGATTGAAAAAAAAAAAAAAAAAGTTTTATTGAACATTGATGGAGCAACAGATTTTGTGTGCAAATAAATCATAAAAGTGGTTAGTTTGTTTAAAAAGCATATAAATATATGAGATGGCAAGGTGGACCTTTTACCCCACACACAAGGTAAAACGCTCACCAGCATGGGGCAAAAGGCACATTTTATTTATACAAATAATAGAGAATAAAGTAAAAAGCACCTTTTACCCTAGTGCGCATTCAGCCCCATTGTACCCTATATTTCAAGTTTAATTTATTTAAAAATGTACTAAATTACAATTTCATCATTAAAAATGTGTAATTAAATATAAATATATCTAAATACATAACATACAAGTGACATTAAAGTATATTTTAGTTTCCCATAAATGCTTGTCAGTACATTTAGCAGTACACTTTAAATATATTTCAAAGTCAGTAGAGAAATGATGAAATTACATATAAAGATGTACTTAAGTCCTAGTTAAGTGGGTCAAAAGGCACTCTAGTTCGGCTAATTTCAGCTAATTGCATTTAATAAATTTAAGTAATAATATATTTTCATTTATTGCAATTAACATAATTAAGTGTCTGAAAACATTCCGTTCCGTTCGCACTACAGTATATTTTACACTTTTAAAGTGTATTATTAGGTACTTTAAGCACTTTTTAAAAAAGTAAGCTAAACTACTTTTTTTCGCAAGGGAAAGATAGATATAAACAAAAGAGGTTGCTTTTATATGCATATAAAAACGAGCAAAAAAAACAACAACATACACATAAAATAAAAAGGTGTTTGGTAAGCAGATGGTAAAAAAAAAAAAACTCATGTATTTTTAATTTTTAATCAAGTTTATTTTTAAACTATAAACTTGAAATTTGGCAGACCAAGTTTAACACGTCAGTGCCAATGCGTCACTACGCCCATTTGTAAAAGAGTCCAGGTGGAACTGGTGAGCCTTTCATTGATTAACACTCATTCAGCATATTCAGTAACTTACGTCAATTTATTTATGCAGAAAATTTCCACTGACCACATTTGATTTCGAATGACCCCAGTTTGAGAAACGTTGCCTTAAGTAACCTTGCCTCAATCCTCAAGTTGTCATTCTTTGAAATCTTAATAATGTAGTGAAATAAATATTGCACCACTAAGTTAACTGAACACGTCATTTCTTCCTAAGTCGACTTCCAAGAAATTGTGGATTCTTACTCCACCTCTGCAAGTCCTCTGGCAGCTTCTGTAAAACAGGTTTTGAGAGTGGCTAACTGAGCTAATTTAATGGTTGGGTTTAGTCTGATAGTTTGAAGATCTTATAGGAATATGTCAGGGGTAAGGAATGAGACCTGACTGTGATAAACGTGTTCTGTGTGTTGCATTGTAATACTGACCTCACACAGGTGACCCAGCTGCTCATTAGCACCCCTGACAGGGTGATAGGTGAATGAACAGAAAGGATAGTCAACAGAAAAAGGATTCCAACGAGACGTGAAAGATGGTTCTCTGAGTTTATCCCAAAACACCCGCACACCCTCACCTTCTCTCCTGAAAAACACACACATATCGTAATGCTTGTATGCTGGAAAACAATGACAGATAAATGATAGCATTGCTAGAGAAATCTACATTTGCAATAAACTCTACAGGGGACTCTACAAGGAAATACTATGGGGTCCACAGAAGAGTTCAGAGAAAATAAATAAATAATAATATTCTATTTATTTATTCTATTTCTAATTATTTATTTATTCTATTTATTCTGTTTATCAATTTCTATTTATTTATTCTATTTTATTTTTTCTATTAATTTTTGTTTGTTTATTCTATTTATGCTTATTCATTTACTCAATTATTTCTATTTCTTTTTATTTATTCTATTTCTATCTATATTTATTCTATTTCTATTTATTTATTCCATGTATCATTATAGAAATGAATAAATAAATAGAACTAGAAAAAATAGAAATGAATAAATAAATAGAACTAGAAAAATAGAACTGACTGACTGAGCAAATGATGTTTATAAAAAAACATTATTTGAAAATATTATTTTAGGAAGGGGGTACCTCACAAGAGAATAGTCACATTTGGGGGTCCCTGAAAACCCCTGACATACTGATTGCAAGACTAGTGGGAGAATTCGATGAGAGCAGAGAAAAACACTATGAAAATGCAGACACGCAGATTTTACAAATATAATTACATAAATGCATTTCATGAGTTTGCTGAAGCATGCACAAAAAGCACTCAACTGTACAAAAACAGGAACAAGTGGCACAAATCTTTTGTTGCAACATCTGTAATCCCTTACTACTAACAAGTGCATTATCTGCTCAGGGATCCACAATTTCATGCTTTCAATTAGGTCAGCTTGACCCCAGACCCCCCCGGCTTCCCTCCCTGCCAAAACTGTCACCATTTCTCTTCAGGTCGCCTCCTTTATATACAGCCCAATGTAATGTTTGCTAGCTTAGAGGCAATTCCCTCCGCTCATCAGATTTTCTTTCATCCCCTCTGCCTTTCTCTTTTGCCATGTTAAGTAAATATTTTTTTATGAAAAGCCTAGAGGGGATGTCTTTATTTTCCAGGCTGATGAAACCTCATAAGACAAGAGAGTGCCTGGCAGTAAACACAGGGCTTTAAAACCTCCAAACATTCGCTCTTTGTAATGTGTTGGCACCCTTCCATATTTTACAAGCATCTTTCACAACAGACAATGTACCGTTTCTCCATCAGTCATGGAATGAAAGGCTGTGATTTCTACAACTGTCCATGCAATCACACCAATTTGTAAGTATTGCATCACGTATTGGTGCAACAAAACAAATCAACAAGCAATAAATAGTTTTTCCTGTTAATTTGAGTTTTTGTCAAGCTTGTTGGCCATTTGGTTTCTATTTCTGTGCCATTGCTCCGGGTAGCCCCGCCCACAGTGAAATGTCATTGGTTTAAAATCACATTCCTCGTAAATGTATATTAAACTTTGAATATGTTCTGATTGGCTGTTACTGTGCCGCATCCCACAGCGTTTTTGCGTTTTTACAAGAAATCTGACACATCATGCCAGGTTATACTATTCTAAATGAGGCAGTATAAAAAAACACATTTCACAGTTTTTTACTTCTTTACAGAATGATTAGAAACCAAACATATCTGTGAAATCTGAGACGTTTTCTTAACTTCATGAAAGATAGCTTTTAAATAGAATGAGCTTGGTATAAATTCAATTTCAGGAACTTTCTATCGTTGATAGAGTTTTTGAAATGGAAGTAAAAGTAGTTATGCTTCGCTAGTGACATTTGATAAACGTGTGGCCTGTAAAAAAACACTTCTCGTGTGTCTCGCTGAGACTGATATGCCCTTCAGCACAACACCATAGCCATTAAACAAACGTTAACCACATAACCAGTGACCTAGCGGCCCTCCTTCACTCTCATACAGGCTCCAGGTAAAGTCAAGAATCTACTGTAATCACTACAAAGCATTCAGTCTTTAGCCTCAGGAGGTCTTCTTTTTTAGCTGATCGATGGATACATACTTTTCTCTACATTCACTCTCCCCTCCACTTGAATTAAATATTTCAAAATTATGACACATAGTTTTTGCATTCTAAAAAAAAAATGGTCACATCTAAATCATTTAAATATAAACCTTTAATTGAAGTTAAAAAATATTGATTAATAAAACTAACGTTTATGTGCTAAATCAGGTAGAAATAGCTCTTTGAGGTAACAATTGGGAGTTATATTTGTTTGCAGTTTAGTAACCACAGTCATAATCATATGATTATAAGATATGATATCATAATATATGTTGCACGTATATTAAGGGAGGATACATGAGAAAGAAACGTAATACAACCTTATTTACTGACAGCATGCATTTTAGACATTTATAAATCAATTATTATGGTCAAATATTATAATAATTTGCATTACGCTTTTGCCAAAACTTTTAACTCTGACTTTTTTTCTTTTTTTATTCTAAATTATATATTCTGAAGACATTGTGTGTCATATGTCAATGCATTTAACTTTTAAATGTTTAAAGTAGTTAATTGTGTCATGATGTTTATTTTTTATTCTAATTTGGACATCGATAAGATAACAGTATACCGAAACGACACGATTCATTATTCCTTTAACATTCCAAACAATTAATTATTGACTCTTATATGCCATTTTCCTTCAAACTGGCACGTCGTGATTGGTTATGACACAAACCAAAGGCATTCCTATTATAAGAAAAATATAGAGCACAAGTATGGACTACAACATGGTCATAAGAGCTATCATCAATATCCTGCTACTTTGTACCACAGAAACAAAAAATGAAAGGCTTTAAGATATGTAATGAAATGAAAGTGGGTAAATCATGACTAAAATATTGAGTAAATACATTTAAAAAAAAAATGTAATTTATAATAGTTTTTCTTTTGGGGGGGGGGGGGGATGCAAAGGAATTGCATTCCTTTAAGTATGTGTAATTTATGATTTTTCATTTGAGCATATAACCCTTTGTTTTAAAAGAGTACACAGAGGTATCAGTGCTTGGAATCTTTAAGCATAAAGCCTTTTATGAATTCAGATGCATATCTTCAACACGAGACAATCGATGCAAACATGTGCACACAGTTGCTTAAAACGTGCCTGTTGCATTTCCAGGTGTGTCGTATTTTGGCAAAAACCAACAGACTCCAGAACACACCTTAAGCAGGACCAGTTCCTGCCAAACACACATACCTTAAAGCTACAGAGAAAGAGTGACTCTTTAGATAGAAAAAAAAAACATAACTACAGGGCAAGGCTGTGTCTCTAGCTCTCACGATGCTGCCTATGTTTACACTAACACTCTCAGACCTTGACAATGGCTGCTGAGGTCTCGCGGGCTACACCCTGCTGAATAAACTGTTGTGTTGAGAGAAAAAGAGAAGAAAGGTGATCATGGGGCGGCACAAAGCCCGACTTAGAAAAAAGGCTGAAAATTTGACTTTGTTGAGTATGTAAAGTTTTGGTATGTTTGCTTAAAAGCGTAAAGTGTGCTTTTGTGTGTACATGAGCAAGTGCACACGCATACATTGTTTGTGCCAAAGCAGTTGTGTATTTTACTGTGTATGTGAGTTGATCCAGATGATTCCAGAGGTAAGCTATCAGTACGTGCGGGCCAGTTGAGACAGGCAGAGGGCTGGGCTGCAGCAGCCAGCGGGCTGGGACATTCACTGTTTATGGTACAGGCTTGAGCTTTCACTGATCATTGCCACTCAGTCTCAGACACACAGACACACACACACGCACACACACACTCACACACACACACACACACACACACACACACACACACACACACACACACACACACACACACACACACACACACACACACACACACACACACACACACACACACACACACAAACAGGCGCACACATCTTTGTGGGGACTCTCCATAGGCGTAATGGTTTTTATACTGTACAAACTGTATATTCTGTCCCCTTACACTGCCCCATCCCTAAACCTACCCATCACACACAACTTTCTGCATTTTTACATTTTCAAAAAAACATTACTTAGTATGATTTATACGCTGTTTTCCTCATGGGGACCGCTGGCTGGTCCCGACAATGTAGGTGATTTCAGGTTTTACTATACTTGTGGGGTCATTTGGTCTCCACAATGTAATATAAACATGAACACACACACACACACATACACAAACACACACGCACACGAACACACACACACACACTTTAATTCCATCACTCTACACGATTGAGAAAGATTGAGAAGGGGAGGGAAAGGGAGGGATGAAAAGAAAAGGTGAAAAATGGATGCTAAGATTTGTCATGCATGAAGCTTCCCCGAGACACGTTACACACAGGAGTGCATTCCTAGAAATAAAGTCACACTAAATTTGATGTTTCCTGCTGGCCATAAAATTGGAATAATGGCCAGCAGGAAACATTAAATTTAGTGTACAGTACTTATGTACTACTTTTTAAAGAAAGTAATAAACATATATGTGTTGTAACATATCTAATTTTTGTAAAAAGGTTCATTAAAATTCAAATTAAAAAATATATTTGTAAAATGTATATTTATTAAGGCTGTCAAAATGAATCCAACACGGAAGTGACTTAAAATGCAATTCATCGACTGGTTGCTAGAGACAGGCTCCAAAAGAGAGTCAATCCCATATACCCCCAATGTTAATATGCCCAACTTTACAGCAGAAAAAAAATATGTTTACAGCCTGGTACAAAAAGTGGTTTTGGTCTTTATAGCTAATTTTGCCCTTCATGACAACTGTGAGGGGGGTATATTTTTTTGCAACTCATCCTTTTAAAGGGGTGGTTGATTATGATTTCACTTTTCTAACTTTAGTTAGTGTGCAATGTTGCTGTTTGAGCATTAACAACATCTGTAAAGTTACAATACTCAAAGTTCAAAGCAAAGGAAGATATTTGTTTTTAAAGAAATCGTTTTTTAAGGACTACAACAAACGGCTGGTAGGGACTACACGAGATTCCTACAGGGTTAGTGACATCA